TGGTGGACCTTCCATGATGCAGCATGAGATGGTGGACCTTCCTGATGCAGCGTGAGATGGTGGACCTTCCCTGATGCAGCGTGAGATGGTGGACCTTCCCTGATGCAGCGTGAGATGGTGGTCCTTCCCTGATGCAGCATGTGAGATGGACCTTCCCTGATGCAGCATGAGATGGTGGACCTTCCCTGATGCAGAGTGAGATGGATCATCCCTGATGCAGCGTGAGATGTTGGACCTTCCCCGATGCATTGTGAGATGGTGGACCTTCCCTGATGCAGCTTCAGATGGTGGACCTTCCCCGATGCAGCGTGAGATGGTGGACCTTCCCTGATGCAGCGTGAGATGGTGGACCTTCCCTGATGCAGCCTGAGATGGTGGACCTTCCCTGATGCAGCGTGAGATGGTGGACCTTCCCTGATGCAGCGTGAGATGGTGGACCTTCCCTGATGCAGCGTGAGATGGTGGACCTTCCCTGATGCATCGTGAGATGGTGGACCTTCCCTGATGCAGCTGAGATGGTGGACCTTCCCTGATGCAGCGTGAGATGGTGGACCTTCCCCTGATGCAGCGTGAGATGGTGGACCTTCCCTGATGCAGCGTGAGATGGTGGACCTTCCCTGATGCAGCCTGAGATGGTGGACCTTCCCTGATGCAGCCTGAGATGGTGGACCTTCCCTGATGCAGCGTGAGATGGACCCTTCCCTGATGCAGCGTGAGATGGTGGACCTTCCCTGATGCAGCGTGAGATGGTGGACCTTCCCTGATGCAGCGTGAGATGGACCTTTCCCTGATGCAGCGTGAGATGGTGGACCTTCCCTGATGCAGCGTGAGATGGTGGACCTTCCCTGATGCAGCTGTGAGATGGTGGACCTTCCCTGATGCAGCGTGAGATGGTGGACCTTCCCCTGATGCAGCGTGAGATGGTGGACCTTCCCTGATGCAGCGTGAGATGGTGGACCTTCCCCGATGCAGCGTGAGATGGTGGACCTTCCCCGATGCAGCGTGAGATGGTGGACCTTCCCCGATGCAGCGTGAGATGGTGGACCTTCCCTGATGCAGCGTGAGATGGTGGACCTTCCCTGATGCAGCGTGAGATGGTGGACCTTCCCAGATGCAGCGTGAGATGGTGGACCTTCCCGATGCAGCGTGAGATGAGTGGACCTTCCCCTTGATGCAGCCTGAGATGGTGGACCTTCCCGATGCAGCGTGAGATGGTGGACCTTCCCGATGCAGCCTGATGCAGCGTGAGATGGTGGACCTTCCCCAGCCTGATGCAGCGTGAGATGGTGGACCTTCCCTGATGCAGCCTGAGATGGTGGACCTTCCCCAATGCAGCGTGAGATGGTGGACCTTCCCTGATGCAGCGTGAGATGGTGGACCTTCCCTGATGCAGCGTGAGATGGTGGACCTTCCCCTGATGCAGCATGAGATGGTGGACCTTCCCTGATGCAGCATGAGATGGTGGACCTTCCCTGATGCATCCTGCAGCGTGAGATGGTGGACCTTCCCTCGATGCATGCCTTCCTGATGCAGCCCCTTCCCTGATGCAGCGTGAGATGGTGGACCTTCCCTGATGCAAATTGAGATTGAGATGGTGGACCTTCTCCCGATGCAGCGTGAGATGGTGGACCTTCCCTGATGCAGCATGAGATGGTGGACCTTCCCTGATGCAGCATGAGATGGTGGACCTTCCCTGATGCAGCATGAGATGGTGGACCTTCCTGATGCAGCGCGTGAGATGGTGGACCTTCCCGATGATGCAGCGTGAGATGGTGGACCTTCCCGATGCACCCTGCCAGCGTGAGATGGTGGACCTTCCCTGATGCAGCGTGTGAGATGGACCTTCCCAGCGTGATGCACCTTCCTGAGATGGATGGACCTTCCCTGATGCAGCAAGAGATGGTGGACCTTCCCTGATGCAGCGTGAGATGGTGGACCTTCCCAATGAGATGCAGCGTGAGATGGTGGACCTTCCCCTGATGCAGCGTGAGATGGTGGACCTTCCCTGATGCACCCTGAGATGGTGGACCTTCCCCGATGCACCCTGTTGCAGCGTGTGATGGTGGACCTTCCCCGATGCACCATGAACCAGCGTGAGATGGTGGACCTTCCCCGATGCACCCTGAACCAGCGTGAGATGGTGGACCTTTCCCTGATGCAATGTGAGATGGAGCATCCCTGATGCAGGTTGAGATGTTGGACCTTTCCCGATGCAGCGTGAGATGGACGACCTTCCCCGATGGACCCTGATCCAGCGTGAGATGGTGGACCCTTCCTGATGCAGCATGAGATGGTGGACCTTCCCTGATGCAGCGTGAGATGGTGGACCTTCCCTGATGCAATGTGAGATGGACCTTCCCGGATGCAGAGTGAGATGGACCCTTCCCTGATGCAGCGTGAGATGGTGGACCTTCCCTGATGCAGCGTGAGATGGTGGACCTTCATTGATGCAGCTTGAGATGGTGGACCTTCCCCAATGCAGCGTGAGATGGTGGACCTTCCCTGATGCAGCATGAGCTGGACCTTCCCTGATGCAGCATGAGATGGTGGACCTTCCCTGATGCAGCGTGAGATGGTGGACCTTCTCTGATGCAGCATGAGATGGTGGACCTTCCATATTGCAGCGTGAGATGGTGGACCTTTCACTGATGCAGCGTGAGATGGTGGACCTTCCCTGATGCAGCATGAGATGGTGGACCTTCCCTGATGCAGCATGAGATGGTGGACCTTCCCTGATGCAGCATGAGATGGTGGACCTTCCCTGATGCAGCGTGAGATGGTGGACCTTCCCTGATGCAGCTTGAGATGGTGGACCTTCCCCGATGCATTGTGAGATGGTGGACCTTCCCTGATGCAGCTTCAGATGGTGGACCTTCCCCGATGCAGCGTGAGATGGTGGACCTTCCCTGATGCACCCTGAGATGGTGGACCTTCCCTGATGCAGCGTGAGATGGTGGACCTTCCCTGATGCAGCATGAGATGGTGGACCTTCCATGATGCAGCGTGAGATGGTGGACCTTCCCTGATGCAGCATGAGATGGTGGACCTTCCATTGATGCAGCTTGAGATGGTGGACCTTCCCCTGATGCAGCGTGAGATGGTGGACCTTCACTGATACAGCTTGAGATGGTGGACCTTCCCCAATGCAGCGTGAGATGGTGGACCTTCCCTGATGCAGCATGAGATGGTGGACCTTCCCTGATGCAGCGTGAGATGGTGGACCTTCCCTGATGCAGCATGAGATGGTGGACCTTCCCTGATGCAGCGTGAGATGGTGGACCTTCCCTGATGCAGCGTGAGATGGTGGCCTTCCCCTGATGCAGCGTGAGATGGTGGACCTTCCCTGATGCAGCGTGAGATGGTGGACCTTCCCTGATGCAGCGTGAGATGGTGGACCTTCCCTGATGCAGCGTGAGATGGTGGACCTTCCCCGATGCATTGTGAGATGGTGGACCTTCCCTGATGCAGCGTGAGATGGTGGACCTTCCCCGATGCAGCGTGAGATGGTGGACCTTCCCTGATGCAGCGTGAGATGGTGGACCTTCCCTGATGCACCCTGAGATGGTGGACCTTCCCCGATGCATCGTGAGATGGTGGACCTTCCCCGATGCAGCGTGAGATGGTGGACCTTCCCTGATGCAGCGTGAGATGGTGGACCTTTCCCGATGCACCCTGATGCAGCGTGAGATGGTGGACCTTCCCTGATGCACCCTGATGCAGCGTGAGATGGTGGACCTTCCCCGATGCACCCTGATCCAGCGTGAGATGGATGACCTTCCCTGATGCAATGTGAGATGGATCATCCCTGATGCAGCGTGAGATGTTGGACCTCTCCCGAGGCATTGTGAGATGGTGGACCTTCCCTGATGCAACGTGAGATGGACCTTCCCTGATGCAACGTGAGATTGACCTTCCCTGATGCAGAGTGAGATGGACCTTCCCTGATGCAGCGTGAGATGGTGGACCTTCCCTGATGCAGCGTGAGATGGTGGACCTTCCCCGATGCAGCGTGAGATGGTGGACCTTCCCTGATGCAGCGTGAGATGGTGGACCTTCCCAATGCAGCGAGATGGTGGACCTTCCCCGATGCAGCTTGAGATGGTGGACCTTCCCTGATGCAGCGTGAGATGGTGGACCTTCCCTGATGCAGCGTGAGATGGACCTTCCCCAATGCAGCGTGAGATGGTGGACCTTCCCTGATGCAGCATGAGATGGTGGACCTTCCCTGATGCAGAGTGAGATGGATCATCCCCGATGCAGCGTGAGATGGTGGACCTTCCCCGATGCAGCGTGAGATGGTGGACCTTCCCCGATGCAGCGTGAGATGGTGGACCTTCCCTGATGCAGCGTGAGATGGTGGACCTTCCCTGATGCAGCGTGAGATGGACCTTCCCCAATGCAGCGTGAGATGGTGGACCTTCCCTGATGCAGCATGAGATGGTGGACCTTCCACAATGCAGCGTGAGATGGTGGACCTTCCCTTATGCAATGTGAGATGGACCTTCCCTGCTGCAGCTTGAGATGGTGGACCTTCCCTCGATGCATCCTGTTGCAGCGTGTGATGGTGGACCTTCCCTCGATGCATCCTGTTGCAGCGTGTGATGGTGGACCTTCCCTGATGCACTCTGATCCAGTGTGAGATGGTGGACCTTCCCTGATGCAATGTGAGATGGATGTTAGACCTCTCTCGAGGCATCGTGAGATGGTGGACCCTCCCCGATGCAGCTTGAGATGGTGGACCTTCCCCGATGCAGCCTGAGATGGTTGACCTTTCCCGATGCAGTGTGAGATGGTTGACCTTCCCTGATGCAGCGTGAGGTGGTGGACCTCTCCCTGATGCAGCGTGAGATGGTGGACCTTCCCTGATGCAGCTTGAGATGGTGGACCTTCCCTGATGGAGCGTGTGATGGTGGACGTTCCCTGATGCAGCGTGAGATGGTGGACCTTCCCTGATGCAGCGTGAGATGGTGGACCTTCCCTGATGCAGCGTGAGATGGTGGACCTTCCCTGATGCAGCGTGAGATGGTGGACCTTCCCTGATGCAGCGTGAGATGGTGGACCTTCCCTGATGCAGCGTGAGATGGTGGACCTTTACTGATGGTGGGCCTGTCCTGAGGCAGCGCTAGGTGGTGGGCATGTCCTGAGGCAGTGCGTGATGGTGTGCCAGGATGGAGAAAGACCCTTTGTGTAAGGTAAGGTTATACTTGTTACAGGAGCTGTTGGACATTCCCTGCTGCACTGTGATGGAAGGAAGAGACCCTGGTGAGACATAAAGACCCTGACCTGATTGACTGGATGGACGGAAGACCCTGCCGTGACTAGATCAAGACCCTTCTGTGACTGGATGACAGAAGACCTTTGTGTGACTGGATGGACAGAAGACACTGCTGTGACTGGATGGATGGAAGACCCTGCTGTAGGTTTCAGAAGTCCCTGGTGCGACCGGAGGGATGGAAAATCCTGCTGCGAAGACCCTGGTGAGACAATGGATGTAAGACCTTGACCTGATTGGATGGAAGGAAGACCCTGGTGTGACTGGACGGAAGACCCTGCTGTGACTGGAAGGATGAAAGACCATGGCAACAAGATGGATGGAAGACCTTGGTGTGCTTGGCCGGAAGACCCTGGTGTGACTGGATGGATGAAAGACCATGGCAACAAGATGGATGGAAGACCTTGGTTTGACTGGATAATGACCTTGTGTGACTGGCTGAAGACCCTGCTGTGACTGGAAGGATGAAAGACCATGGCAACAAGATGGATGGAAGACCTTGGTGTGCTTGGCTGGAAGACCCTGGTGTGACTGGATGGATGAAATACCATGGCAACTGGTTGGATGGAAGACCTTGGTGTGACTGGATAATGACCTTGTGTGACTGGCTGAAGACCCTGCTGTGACTGGATGGACGGAAGTCCCTGCTGTGACTGCGTGTAAGGAAATCCCTGCTGTGACTGGATGGACAGAAGTCTCTGCTGTGACTGGAAGAATACGCCGCGGACAGGATGGATGGAAGACCCTGGTGAGGGATGGATGGAAGACCCTGGTGACTGGATGGAAGACCTTGGTGACTGGATGGAAGACCTGGTGACTGGATGGAAGACCCTGGTGACTGGATGGAAAACCCTGGTGACTGGATGGAAGACCCTGGTGACTGGATGGAAGACCCTGGTGACTGGATGGAAGACCCTGGTGACTGGATGGAAGACCCTGGTGACTGGATGGATGACCCTGGTGGATGGAAGCCCCTGGTGACTGGATGGAAGCCCCTGGTGACTGGATGGAAGACTGGATGTATGACCCTGGTGACTGGTTGTATGACCCTGGTGACTGGATGGAAGACCCTGGTGACTGGATGGAAGACCCCAGTGACTGAATGGAAGACCCTGGTGACTGGATGGATGACCCTGGTGACTGGATGGAAGACCCTGGTGAATGGATGGATGACCCTGGTGAGACTGGATGGAAGATAGGATGGAAGACCCTGGTGACTGGATGGAAGACTGGATGGATGACCCTGGTGACTGGATGGATGACCCTGGTGACTGGATGGATGACCCTGGTGACTGGATGGATGACCCTGGTGACTGGATGGAAGACCCTGGTGACTGAATGGAAGACCCTGGTGACTAGATGGAAGACTGGATGTAAGCCCATGGTGACTGGATGGAAGACCCTGGTGACTGGATGGAAGACCCTGGTGACTGGATGGAAGACCCTGGTGACTGGATGGAAAGACCCTGGTGACTGGATGGAATGACCCTGGTGACTGGATGAAGACTGGACTGGATGGAAAGACCCTGGTGACTGGATGGAAGACCCCTGGTGACTGGATGGAAGAACTGGATGGAAGACCCTGGATGGACTGGACTGGATGGAAGACCCTGGTGACTGGATGACCTAAGACCCCTGGTGACTGGATGGAAGACCCTGGTGACTGGATGGAAGACTGGATGGAAGACCTGGTGACTGGATGGAAGACTGACTGATGGAAGACCCTGGTGACTGGATGGAAGGTGACTGGATGGAAGACCCTGGTGACTGGATGAGAAGACCTGGATGGAAGACCCTGACTGGATGGAAGACCTGGATGGAAGACCCTGGTAGATGGATGGATGACCCTGGTGACTGGATGGATGACCCTGGTGACTGGATGGAAGACCCTGGTGACTGGATGGAAGACCCTGACCCTGGTGACTGGATGGAAGACCCTGGTGACTGAGATGGAAGACCCTGGATGGACCCTGGTGACTGGATGGAAGACCCTGGTGACTGGATGGAAGACCCTGGTGACTGGATGGAAGACCCTGGTGACTGGATGGATGGAGACCCTGGTGACTGGATGGAAGACCCTGGTGACTGGATGGAAGACCCTGGACTGGAACCCTGGTGACTGGATGGAAGACTGGATGACCCTGGTGACTAGATGGAAGACTGGATGGAAGGATGGACCCCTGGTGACTGGATGGAAGACCCTGGTGACTGGATGGAAGACCCTGGTGACTGGATGAAGACCCTGGTGACTGTGACTGGATGGAAGACCCTGAGTGGTGACTGGATGGAAGACCCTGGTGACTGGATGGAAGACTGGATGGAAGCCCCTGGTGACTGGATGGAAGCCCCTGGTGACTGGATGGAAGACCCTGGTGACTGGATGGAAGACCCTGGTGACTGGATGGAAGACCCTGACTGGATGGAAGACCCTGACTGGATGGAAGACTGGATGAAGACCCTGGTGACTGGATGGAATGACCCCTGGTGACTGGATGGAAGACCCTGGTGACTGGATGGAAGACCCTGGTGGACTGGATGGAAGACTGGATGGAAGACCCCTGGTGATGGAGAGACTGGATGGAAGACTGGAAGAACCCACTGGATGGAAGACTGATGGAAGACTGGACTGGATGGAAGACTGGATGGGACTGGATGGAAGACTGGATGGAAGACCCTGTGAAAGACTGGATGGAAGACTGGATGGATGACCCCTGGTGACTGGATGAGACTGGATGGAAGACCCTGGTGAGACTGAGTGGACTGGATGGACCCTGGTGACTGGAAGACTGGACTGGATGGAAGACCCTGCTGTGACTGGATGAATGGAAGCTCCTGCTGACTGGATGGAAGACTGAAGAAAATGCTGGTGACAGGATGATCCTGCTGGAATACCTTGATCCTTGGTTGACCCTGGTGAGACTGGACAAGACCCTGGTGAGACTGGAAGAAGACTAGAACACTGGATGATGACCCTGGAAGACTGGATGAATGGAAGCTCCTATGACTTGAAGAAAATGCTGGTGACAGTATGATCCTGCTGCGACTGGTTGGATGACCCTGGTGACTTTGAAGACCCTGGTGAGACTGGATGGATAGAACACGCTAGTGAGACTGGAAGAAGACTGGATGGATGAAGACCCTGCTGTGACTGGATGGATGGAAGACCCTGCTGCGACTGTATGAGATGCTGGTGACTGGATGGATGGAACACCTTGGTGTGACTGGATGGATTGAAGACCCGTGGTGAGACAATGGATGCAAGACCTTGACCTGATTGGATGGATGGAGGACCCTGGTGTGACTGAATGGACCGAAGACCCTGCTGTGACTGGATGGAATAAAGACCCTGATGCGACTGGATGGCTGGAGGATTGAACACCCTGGTGTGACTGAATGGATGGATGAAGACCCTGCTGTGACTGGATGGAATGAAGACCCTGATGCGACTGGATGGCTGGAGGATTGAACACCCTGGTGTGACTGGATGGATGAAGACCCTGCTGAGACTGTATGAGATGCTGGTGACTGGATGGATTGAAGACCCTGGTGTGACTGGATGGATTGAAGACCCTGGTGTGACTGGATGGATGGAAGACCCTGGTGTGACTGGATGGATGGAAGACCCTGGTGAGACTGGAAGAAGATGCTGGTGACTGGATGGATGGAAGACCCTGGTGCACCTGGATGGACGGAAGACCCTGCTGCAACTGGAAGAAGATGCTGGTGACTGGATGGATGGAAGACCCTGATGTGACTGGATGGATGGAAGACCCTGCTGCACCTGGATGGATGGAAGACCCTGCTGCAACTGGAAGAAGATGCTGGTGACTGGATGGATGGAAGACCCTGGTGTGACTGGATGAATGGAAGACCCTGGTGTGACTGGATGGATGGAACACCCTGGTGTGACTGGATTGAAGGAAGACCCTGATGCGACTGGATGGCTGGAGGATTGAAGACCCTGCTGTGACTGGATGGATTGAAGACCTTGATATGACTGGATGGCTGGAGGATTGAAGACCCTGATGTGACTGGATGGAAGGAAGACCCTGATGTGACTGGATGGCTGGAGGATTGAACACCCTGGTGTGACTGGATGGAAGGAAGACCCTGATGCGACTGGATGGCTGGAGGATTGAAGACCCTGGTGTGACTGGATGGAAGAGAAGACCCTGATGACTGGATGACTGGAGGATTGAAGACCCTGATGTGACTGGATGGAAGGAAGACCCTGATGCGACTGGATGGCTGGAGGATTGAAGACCCTGATGTGACTGGATGGAAGGAAGACCCTGATGCGACTGGATGGCTGGAGGATTGAACACCCTGGTGTGACTGGATGGAAGGAAGACCCTGATGCGACTGGATGGCTGGAGGATTGAAGACCCTGATGTGACTGGATGGAAGGAAGACCCTGATGCGACTGGATGGCTGGAGGATTGAACACCCTGGTGTGACTGGATGGAAGGAAGACCCTGATGTGACTGGATGGCTGGAGGATTGCCCACCCTGATGCGACTGGATTGCTGGAGGATTGAACACCCTGGTGTGACTGGATGGCTGGAGGATTGAACACCCTGGTGTGACCGGATGGCTGGAGGATTGAACACCCTGGTGTGACTGGATGGAAGGAAGACCCTGATGCGACTGGATGGCTGGAGGACCCTGATACGACTGGATGGCTGGAGGATTGAACACCCTGGTGTGACTAGATGGCTGGAGGATTGAACACCCTGGTGTGACTGGATGGAAGGAAGACCCTGATGCGACTGGATGGCTGGAGGATTGAACACCCTGGTGTGACTAGATGGCTGGAGGATTGAACACCCTGGTGTGACTGGATGGAAGGAAGACCCTGATGCGACTGGATGGCTGGAGGATTGAACACCCTGGTGTGACTGGATGGCTGGAGGATTGAACACCCTGGTGTGACTGGATGGAAGGAAGACCCTGATGCGACTGGATGGCTGGAGGATTGAAGACCCTGATATGACTGGATGGAAGGAAGACCCTGATGCGACTGGATGTCTGAGGATTGAACACCCTGGTGACTGGATGGAAGGAAGACCCCCTGATGATGGATGGCTGGAGGATTGCCCACCCTGATGCGACTGGATGGCTGGAGGATTGAACACCCTGGTGTGACTGGATGGCTGGAGGATTGAACACCCTGATGTGACTGGATGGCTGGAGGATTGAACACCCTGGTGTGACTGGATGGAAGGAAGACCCTGATGCGACTGGATGTCTGGAGGATTGAACACCCTGGTGTGACTGGATGGAAGGAAGACCCTGATGCGACTGGATGGCTGGAGGATTGCCCACCCTGATGCGACTGGATGGCTGGAGGATTGAACACCCTGGTGTGACTGGATGGCTGGAGGATTGAACACCCTGATGTGACTGGATGGCTGGAGGATTGAACACCCTGGTGTGACTGGATGGAAGGAAGACCCTGATGCGACTGGATGGCTGGAGGATTGAAGACCCTGATGTGACTGGATGAATTGAAAACCCTGATGTGACTGGATGGATGAAGACCCTGATGTGACTGGATGGATGAAGACCCTGCTGTGACTGGATGAAGACCCTGCTGTGACTGGATGAAGACCCTGGTGTGACTGGATGGACGGAAGCCCCTGCTGCCATGGTGGACGGAAGACCCTACTGTCTTGATGGACAGAAGCCCCTGCTGCCTTGATGGACGGAAGACCCTGCTGCCTTGATGGACGGAAGAGCCTGCTGCCTTGTTGACGGAAGACCCTGCTGCCTTGTTGACGGAAGACTCTGGTGCGACTGGATGGAAGACCCTGGTGAGACTGGATGAAAACTCACGTGTGACTGGATGCATGGAAGACCCAGGTGTGACCCTTGTTGTAACTGAATAGAGAGAATATACTGCTCCGACTGGTGACTGGAGGGATGGAATACCCTGGTGAGTCTGGATGGAAGACCCTTATGAGACTGCATGGATAGAAGACCTAGGTGTGACTGGATGGATGAAGACTGGTGTGACTGGATGAAGACCTTGGTGTTACTTGAGGGAGTCCTTGGTGTGACTGGATGGGTGGAAAATTGAATGAATACCATGGTGAGCCTGGAGGGACGTTGATGTTTCGAATGCAAGATAATGAAGTATATTGATAGGACCAATTAAGTCAGGTGAGTAAGGTAAGATTTTAGGTTGTTGACCAGAAATGGCAAGCTGGCGATGTACTGTGAGATTCAGGAGATGGACATGGCTCGGCCCTGGGACAGCCCGAGATGGTGGACCTTTCCTTGGCCAGCACCAGATGTGGACCTTTCCTCGTGCAGCAAGACATGGATCTTTCCTTGGCCAGCACCAGATGGTGGACCTTCCTTGGGCAGCACGAGATGGTGGACCTTTCCTTTGGCAGCACGAGATGGTGGACCTTCCTTGGGCAGCACAAGATGGTGGACCTTTCCATGACCAGTACGAGATGATGGACCTGGACCAGAGTGAGATGGTGGAACTGGACCAGCGTGAGACGGTGGACCTTCCCCAATGCAGCGTGAGATGGTGGACCTTCCCCAATGCAGCGTGAGATGGTGGACCTTCCCCGATGCAGCGTGAGATAGTGGGCCTTCCCCAATGCAGCTTGATATGTTGGACCCTTCCCGATGCAGCGTTGAGATGGACCTTCCCGATGCAGCGTGAGATGGTGGACCCCCTTGATGCAGCGTGAGATGGTGGACCCCCCTGATGCAGCATGAGATGCAGTGATGCAGTGTGAGATGGTGGACCCTCCCTGATGCAGTGGGAGATGGTCCTTCCTTGGGCAGCACGAGATTGTGGACCTTTCCTTGACCAGAGTGAGATGGTGGAACTGGATCAGCGTGAGACGGTGGACCTTCCCCAATGCAGCGTGAGATGGTGGACCTTCCCCGATGCAGCATGAGATGGTGGACCTTCCCTGATGCAGCGTGAGTTGGTGGACCTTCCCCGATGCAGCGTGAGATGGTGGACCTTCCCGATGCAGCTTGAGATGGTGGACCATCCCCAGTGCAGCGTGAGATGGTGGACCTTCCCAGATGCAGCATGACATGGTGGACCCTCCCTGATGCAGCATGAGATGGTGGACCCCCCTTATGCAGCATGAGATGGTGGACCCTCCCTGATGCAGTGTGAGATGGTGGACCTGGACCAGCATGAGATGGACCTTTTTGGGGCAGCACGAGATGGTGGACCTTTCCTTGGGCAGCCCGAGATAATGGACCTTTCCTTGGGCAGCACGAGATAATGGACCTTTCCTTGGGTAGCATTGGATGGTGGACCTTTCTTTTGGCAGCACGAGATGGTGGACCTTCCTTGGGCAGCACAAGATGGTGGACCTTTCCATGACCAGTACGAGATGATGGACCTGGACCAGAGTGAGATGGTGGAACTGGACCAGCGTGAGACGGTGGACCTTCCCCAATGCAACGTGAGATGGTGGACCTTCCCCAATGCAGCGTGAGATGGTGGACCTTCCCCGATGCAGCGTGAGATAGTGGGCCTTCCCTGATGCAGCTTGATATGTTGGACCCTTCCCCGATGCAGCGTGAGATGGACCCCCCGATGCAGCGTGACATGGTGGACCCTCCCTGATGCAGCATGAGATGGTGGACCCCCCTGATGCAGCATGAGATAGTTGATCCCCCTTGATGCAGTGTGAGATGGTGGACCCTCCCTGATGCAGTGGGAGATGGTGGACCTTCCTTTGGCAGCACGAGATTGTGGACCTTTCCTTGACCAGAGTGAGATGGTGGAACTGGACCAGAGTGAGATGGTGGAGCTGGATCAGCGTGAGACAGTGGACCTTCCCCAATGCAGCGTGAGATGGTGGACCTTCCCCGATGCAGCATGAGATGGTGGACCTTCCCTGATGCAGCGTGAGTTGGTGGACCTTCCCCGATGCAGCGTGAGATGGTGGACCTTCCCCGATGCAGCTGGAGATGGTGGACCATCCCCAGTGCAGCGTGAGATGGTGGACCTTCCCAGATGCAGCATGACATGGTGGACCCTCCCTGATGCAGCATGAGATGGTGGACCCCCTTATGCAGCATGAGATGGTGGACCCTCCCTGATGCAGTGTGAGATGGTGGACCTGGACCAGCATGAGATGGACCTTTTTGGGGCAGCACGAGATGGTGGACCTTTCCTTGGGCAGCCCGAGATAATGGACCTTTCCTTGGGCAGCACGAGATAATGGACCTTTCCTTGGGCAGCATTGGATGGTGGACCTTTTTCTTGGGCAGCACGAGATGGTGGACCTTTCCTTGGGCAGCACGAGATGGTGGACCTTTCCTTGGGCAGCACGAGATGGTGGACCTTTCCTTTGGCAGCACGAGATGGTGGACCTTTCCTTTGGCAGCACGAGATGGTGGACCTTCCCTTGGGCAGCACGAGATAGTGGACTTTCCCTTGGCAGCACGAGATGGTGGACCTTTCCTTGGGCAGCACGAGATGGTGGACCTTTCCTTGGGCAGCACGAGATGGTGGTGGTGACCTTTCCTTGGGCAGCACGCAGATAGTGGACTTTCCTTGGCGAGATGGTGGACCTTTCCTTGGGCAGCACGAGATGGTGGACCTTCCCTTGGGCAGCACGAGATAGTGGACTTTCCCTTGGCAGCACGAGATGGTGGACCTTCCCTTGGGCAGCACGAGATAGTGGACTTTCCCTTGGCAGCACGAGATGGTGGACCTTTCCTGATTAACTAAGGTGGTGTACCCATGGCACTCAGAGATGGTAGACCTTCCCTTGGACAGCAGGAGGAGCAGGACCTGGAGCAGTGTTAGTTGGACGTAAAATGGAGCAGTGTAAGATAGTGGATACAAGGTAGCATGAACTGGATTTGGACCTTGGTGCAGGATGGTGGTATCTTTCATACATCCTCTACAGATGAGGACCTGTGGAGCCTTGGCATATCCCTGTATACACTGAAATGAAAGAGGCATAGACCTTTCCTTGAGATGGTGATCCTGAAGAAGTGCTGAGTTTCAAAGCAGAACATAGCCCTAGATGCAGAAAATGCTACCTGATGTGGATGGCTTATGTGAAGCTTCACAAAATGTAATCCTTCCCTTGTAGTAGTGGCTTGTAAAAAGGACGCACCCAAAACTCAATGTTACATGATTTGGACATTTTGAGAAACATTTACATCATCCATGACCGGGATGGAGAGTGAGAGTGAATATTCCACATCACCACTTTTACAGTTATTCATGGACAGCATATGAAATGTTTTCTTGTCTTTATGAACTAGTTTCCTGTTAAATGTCTTCAGAATTATCTGTGCAAAGTCACTTGCTTCTGAAATTATGTGTAAAATGTACTAAATGTCATTAATTCGACTGAATGAGCATTCTGAAACCCTATTATTGATGAAAGGTAAACACATGAATTATTTTATTGTGATATGAATGAAATGAGAAATAAAAATAATTTTATATCTATTAGTGTCTTCTCTATATTACTGCATTGGTGGTTAGTAGACAAACACAGCTTGATACTATGGGCAGTTGGTACAATCACTAATTACAATGCACAATCTGACCACATGATACACCTATCACGACAAAGAAAAGACTGGGGAGGACAGTCTCTTCTCCACTCAATTATTCCCAATTGCAAATGTCTGCTTCATTGGGAACGTCCACATGTGTTGTGGCTTCAGAAGTGGTTGTCAGACTGTCTTGAACAGATGTCTTTGACGTCAAATTGTTCTTGCAGGTACCCTTCTGTTACTGTAGGGTTGCTGGCCAGAACCTGCGTTGTTACTGGTGGGTGGCAACTATTGGGACAGGCTGTATTTTCAATTATTTTGATAAAAAACATACCTTCAAAACACTGCAAGGTCAACAAGAAGTTGTTATCCATAACGTTTGTCAATTTTGTATTTCCTAGCTTCTAAAATACCACACTGCAAGGTCAGACTGAAGCATACCTATGTATACACAAAGAACTTAATTAAGCACCCCTGTAATTTTGCAATGGTAGGTTTTCAACAGATACATAAGACTTATCTCTGACCCATATGGTATTTTGCCTGGTAACCATGATGATTTTATGATAATTGCTCATTTTAAAATAACACTGTTCATACAAAACCATGTCTGTACAAGTATGGCCCTGGAATGTTCTATGTTGAATTTATTGGTGAATGTGGACATTCAAAATGATTCAAGGTCAATACAGAGTGTAACCTACATGTGACTGTATGACAGCCAGCACCCTCCTCCTTATACCCCTGTCAGCCTCCTGACCCTCTGAAGGGACAGTCTATGCCATTGCTCGTGTAAAGCAGCTTCAGGTTCTGTACAGGAGGATCCCTTTGTTGCACACACGACGACCAATCATGTCACAGATATGCTCCAAAAGGTTAAGATTGGGGCTCACTCAATCGTGAGATATGTCAGGGGGTGCTTAACTAAGTTCTTTGTGTATAGCTCTCCATCTGTCCTTTCCCCTGAGATGAACAGATGTGTTGTTCTGTACACTTGTACACTTCTTAAGACTGCACTGAGTGGAAATGATATGTGAATGAATGGCCCCGCTAAGTGAACATTGCTGACCATTTTTCTTAAATATGTCAAGCTTCTTGCATATTTTATTCCATTCAAACAACTGCTTGGTTGTTTCATGTCACAAGAACTTTTGTCTCTGTGTAATATACTGAAAGGCAAAAGAAACTTAATATTAGAAATGACATTTGAGTATCAATGTAGTATTTGAACCTATTTTTTTAAATATACACCAGAAGTCAAGTTTGAGGAAACATGAATCGTGGTCGGATAGCCTGCATTGCCCCAAAAAGTATTGTTGGAGATTGAAGTTAGAAATGTTTTGTTTTTGGGAGAGGGAAAAGTTCCCACAAACACAACATTGAAATCGAGATGCACGTGCATCATAAATGCATTCAGGCATAAATTGCCGGCTTGAATGGCAATCGTTCACTTGTTTTCTGAACACAGCAGCTATGACTAGGTTAGCGAGAGATCAACCACAACAAGCTATTGGACGTCTGCACACTGGTCAACATGCTCGAGTCATTGCTTATGACTTCAGTTGCAGCGTACGAACGATAAAACGTCTTAGAGTGCGATACAACGCCACCAGCAGCACTGATGACCGTCCATGTAGTGGTCAACCCCGTGTAACAACATGTTGCCAGGACCGTCATATCGTCCATCAACACGTGCAAGACCTATTCGCAAGGGCCAGAGAAATAGCTTGGGTGACCATAGGAAACCACCAGCGACCAGTCAGTGACCTACCATTCGGCGACGTCTCCAAGCCAGGAACCTGTTTTGTCGATGTCCTGCAAGGAGACCCATATTCACCCAACGTCACCGCCGGGAACGTATCCAAGTGGACACAACAGCGGCAAAACTGGCGTGGGGGACAATGGAGAGGGGTTATCTTCTCTGATGAAAGTCGGTGCTGCATTTCAGTGGCGTATTATTTTAAAAAATAGGTTCAAATGATCCATTGATACTTAAATGTCATTTCCAATATTACATTTCTTTTGCCGTTCAGTATATATAAACTACTTTAAAACATTGTAGCAATCAATAAATTGTTTTCTTTACACAAATTAAAACCTTGCCATGTCATTTTCCATTGTTACTCAAAAAGCTCACATAAACTAAAGTCTGTTTGATTTCATTTGAGACCGATGAATTGCTCACCAACACAAAATCTAATAAATCCAACAAAATCAAAATTTGCATTTGTGTAGAAGAGCCAGGTGTGTGAGTTGCATGTGTGAAATTTAAATTTCACTGCACACGCTTTGATTACCTGGCTGTTTTACCAGCAAGTGGTCCCCCCTCATAACAAACAGCAAACTGTAACAACAAAATAATGATCAACTTTAAACTTATGATACAAATCATCAGAGTTGGTCTGTTGATTTCATGTGACTGTGCAAAGTTTGGTTTTGTTGCATTTATTAGAGTTTGTATTAGTGAGCAATTCATCGGTCTCAAATGAAATCGGACCGCCTCCGTGGTGTAGTGGTTAGATCGTCCGCCCGAAGAGCGGAAGGTTGCGGGTTCGATCCCCTACCGCCTCATACCAAAAGATGTTAACATATGGTACTTGTTGGTCCAAGCCGAGGACTGGTCGGCTCGGAGTCAGTATAATATGTCAGAGTGGGGTATTCATGCTTCACTGCGGCATGGTATCTCAGTGGGCTAGAACTATAAAACCAGCTTAGATAGACACTATCTCAGTAACGTATTAAAGTTTTTTAATATTGGACCCAGTATCTCACATTTGATAGAAACATTCTATAATGATATTGAATCGAGAGTCTTAGTGAATGGATTTGCGTCAACTCCTTTTAAAATAGGTCGGGGATGGCGCCAGGGGGACCCGCTAGCGCCGTACATCTTTCTGTTGTGTGTAGAAATCCTGGGTATCATGATACGAAACAACAAAAATATAAAGTGGATTAAACTTGGAAGTATAGCATATCTTCTATCACAGTTCGCAGATGATACAACACTTACATTAGACTGATCAGAGAAATGCCTCTATGCAGTTTTGAGTACATTAGAACTATTTAGCCGTTTTTCAGGTTTGAAAGTTAACGTAGATAAAACTAAACTAATAGGGATAGGCTCCAAAATGAGGTCCCGATATAAGATGTGTAAAGAATGGAATTTTGACTGGTCACAAACAGACTTCACGCTCTTGGGAATACATTTCGATACTGATCTTGATAATATGGTTGAAATAAACTACAATGAAAAACTAGCTCAGATTGAAAGGTAAATGAACATTTGGTCAGCTCATACCTTAACCGTACGGAAGAAATACTGTTCTTAAATCACTTCTACTACCTAAGCTTAACCACCTATTCTCAGCTCTACCAAATCCCAAAAAATGTGTCATTGAAAGACTTAAAAAAAAGTGTTTTAATTTCATATGGAAAAACAAACCTGATAAGATTAAAAGAGATGTAATGATGTTAAACCCAGAGCATGGGGGGATAAAAACTCCAAATATTAGAAAAATAATATCATCACAAAAACAAAAATGGATAAAGAGAATAAGCGGTCATGACCTCAAATGGATGCTTCTCTTCACCAGTCAATTTAAAATCAGGACACAATTTTACTGACGGATAGTTACTATATACAAAATGAAATAATTCCCTCTTCAACTAACTCCTTTTGGAATACATACTTTTAGAATGGTCGAACTTTATATCCATGTGTTAAAGAGAAATTGTAAATGAAGAAGAAATACAATGCCAATCCTTATGGAATAACGACAATATCAGAATTGATAGTCATCCCTTTCTGTATCGTGAGTGGTTCAAAAAAGGTGTCGTTTTTGTGAATGATTTAATACATGAAGAAGGCTGACTGTTCACATATAAAGAATTTTCCAATACCTTTTCAATAAAAACCAATTTCTTAACGTATGAATCAGTGAAAAAAGCAATTATAACATATGCTCGAACACTGAATATAAAGCAATTTAAAATGAAATTAAGCGAACCAATTTATCCTTTTAATGTCTCAAAAATTGACACCATAATTGGGAGTAAAAAACTATATGCCTCCCTCTTGAACTCAAAATTTGTTCGGTTGCCAAGTTTTTCAAAATGGGAATGAGTTCTAAAGAGAGATTTTACTGAAAACGACTGGAATTTTTTTAACATTATTGCAAATAAATGTTCGCGAAGCATAGACTTGAAATGGTTGCACTATAGAATTATCCACAATATCCTCCCAACAAGACAACTACTTTATAAAATTGGATACACATCCTCACCAATATGTCCATTTTGTGAACAAGAAAGAGAAACTATCAATCATATGTTATGGGAATGTGAATTTGTTTTTAAATTATGGAAAGAAATAGAATCATGGTTGAACTCAGTACAGTTACAACTGGAACTCACAAATAAAATCGTTAATTGGGAATGAAAGGAAAAAACAATAATCCGATTAATGAAATCATTTCAGTTGTCAAACATTATATCTACAGATGCAGCATAAATGGTTTCAAACCAAAGTTAGAATATTTAAAAAATGAAATTCACTATAATATGTCAAGATATGTTTAGCTATCAGAGGGAACTGAGCAATTATTTTTTCAATAATGGTCAACATTACATTTATTACCGGTACTTGGAAATTAATCCAGCCAATTATACTTTTTCAGCCAACTGTACATTTCCATACATGTATACATATACCATTGTATTATTATGAAACTTATCTATACATGTTTGCCTATATATGAAATATGGAAAATAAAAAAATAAAAATAAAAACAGCTTAAGTCTGGGCTAGTACAAGCAGCCGCACATACACATACACACGCATGCATGTCGTCATATGAGCAAAATATTCTCAAGCACGACGTTAAAACCCAATTTCACCTCACCTCAAATGAAATCAAACGGACTGTAATAACGTAGGCACTTTGGCACAGGATAGTATTTGAGTTTTATACATTCCCTGAGTTAAGTACATTAAATATATCTGTCTCAATATATAGATATATATATATATGAAAGGAAAACAGCTTGACTATTATTTTCATAACCAGCTGTCTATAATCAAAGGTGGACAATGATAAAATGTGTGACAGATGTCCCCAATGTCATGCTTCAGTGGTCGAACGGCCATTGTCTAACTTTGGTTATAGACAGCTGACCCACAAATGACTGCCCTGCTGGCCATGATAATTATAGTCAAGCTGCTTTAATTTCATTTGTATGGACAGCAATGTCTTTATTTGGTTTTCTCATGGAGTTGGTGTCCTACGCCCAAGTCCCTACGATACTAATTAATACTATGCAGAGCTCCAGATAAGATTTAGCTCATGTGGGTACTGTACCCACTGTATTTTTATGGAGTGGGTATTATGAATGTTGAGTGGGTATTTCATTTTCCGTTACCCACTGCTTTCAAATATGTACGTATTTCAGTCATATTACTCACCTAAGTATTATGTCATTGAGTAAGTTTACTAAGCAGGTATGTTCTGCCTTATGTCATACCTAATCAAAACCAAGTTAAATATAATGGAAATGATTTCAGAAAAAATCACTCATCCTATACTGAAAGTACAACACTTGTCTTATAAAAACAGTACAACTTGATAGCAATCAATGTCTTTTTCATGACGCAAGCAATTTTTATAAATATATTCCGTGCGCATTTGTTTTAAACTTTTTGCGTATCTAACATTTTAAATGCTTAATTGGTACGCAACAATTATTTTTTAGTAGCGTAATTGGAAATTTTCTATGCGTATTTTACCCGGATACGCAGCTTATCTGGTCCTCTGCTACGTATCATATTAGTGTGCAATTTTTTTGTTGAATTGTTCCTTATTTACTGAATCACCAACAGTTTCAAATCACACACCCTCCTTACCGCGCCTTGATTGGCAAATATGTTAAAACAGTTGCTAAACAGTTACACCTTACCTAAATCCTAATGACAAACTTCACTGTATTTACTTGTATTTCACAATACTGACACATTATAAAAAGTGACTGACTTATAACTGATACTCATACACTTCCATTTTTATACTGTACAACAATAAAATACCTGACTCATTTACTATAGTAGTTATATTTGTAATCTTGTAAGAGGTTTATACTGGGGGAAGTTCTTGACCCGAGATATGGAGACGTCATGTCCCAAAAGAAAAGACACAATGCCATTTAGAAAGTGGTCAAATGTCATATAGGTTATATTTGGGATTACACTTTCTCAGTAAAAAGCTGCGGTTAGATGGCTGACTTAGTGTAATGGCGATTAGGTGCCTGACTCTGAGGGTGTGGGTTCGAATCCCAGATGAGACTCAACCCAACAAAAGTACTCGAATCAGTACTTCATTGAGAAAGTGTAATCCCAAATATAACATATGTTACAGAGGTGTCCTCCCATTACCCAGACAGCCAGTTCGCAGACACCTTAAAACAACAACATTTACGGTTCAGTGAACAGATTATCTACTACCTGTTACCTACACATTATAATGGAATGGTCCAAATTAAAACACAGGAACAAACTGAAGCTATATTATTTACTTTGAAAGATGGACGAAAAGACAGTAATTTGAATCTTTATTGCTGCAATATAAAAACAGTATATTTTCATAAACATTTCTGTTTAACCTTCTAGTCTAACGGGAGTCGGCATCTTCACATTGAACACATTAGCTTAGCTATTAGAAATTGCGACACTGTTGTATCATATAAATCAAATAAAGACATATGTGAACCTAAATATTATTCATATGGAATAAAGAAGTTATATGTTTTGCACACAATATTAAGATATATGACCAGTGCATTTAATTACGATTATTTAGAATAACTATTTAAAATATGACACATCATGTCAATGTGGCCATGGATGTGAGAATGTTTTTCATTACTTCCTTGAATATCCATTGTACATTGTATACTACTCAAAGACAGAAACTGTTATAATCTTTAGAAAGTATTGTTAAAATTAGAACACTGATTTGTATTAATCGTATCTTACATGGCAATGCAGGTGTTTCATTTACTGCAAATCAGAATGTTTTCAAATATGTACATATCTCTCCAACAAAACGTTTTCTGAGTTAACTTCTGTTGTACATGTTATTATTGGGAGGGGGCTTTTCTATCAATAAACACAATCAAACCCCTCAGTGACAAACCTGTTTTTATATTCGATAGTAATTGATAGTAAAAACAATTTTGAGAAGAGATACCATTTATCATTTAAAAACAACAAAGTTCTATTTACACACAATCAAACTTCTCAGTAAGGAACCTGTTTCAGGCTCACCCTGCTCTACTCACTAGACAGGGGACTGTTCCATTATACCCGTAGGTGTTACCCTAATTAACCTTCTAGTTCAGTGTCTGTCAATTGGGTGTCTGTCAAATGGGAGATAACCGTTACAGATGTACATGCAACAATTTGCAGGTGAAATAACAGACTAAATCAAGTTTGACGAAATGGTACAACTGAACAATGTCTGATACAAAGATTTACGATACCTTCAACTTGATTCCAGAATGAACACAACTGATGTGAAACACAACAAGCAAGGAATTTATTCACTATGATATTTATTTACAGGCAATCACACTCTGAAACCTTCCCTCACAGAAATCAGGTCTGCCTGGACCATTAACTTGCAGCTTGAGAGATTATCTGTTTCTGAAAAATACAAATGTTTTACATCAGTGACTATCGGACACCGGTTGACATTGACAACTGGATAAAAATGAGAAATCTTCCACCCTGTGTATATAGAGTCTCACCCTAGAAACGAAAAACATGTCTTATACGTGTCGATATATGATAATTCAAGTCTAAAATTTCAGATGCAAAATTTATGTTCTATTTATGACCAACAGCAACTATTGAAGCCATCATTGTTAACCATGCTATTAATAATGCTTTAAGTAGTTTGAAATTTCTATTGATAGTCCACAAATGATAATAAGCAAATGCAGAACATTGATAGTTTGATAGATCATTACACGCCTAACCTTCAAAATGTCCAATGTGTTGGTAGCATGCAGTCCCAAACTCCTCAGCACAACAATGGGTGTGAAGTCCACACTGTATAGTTTCTGTAGTCCATCGATAACTCCCATTACTGGCACCACCTGGCGCTGTCTCTGAGTCTCATAGTCATGGAGATGGGTTAGTGATCCTGCAACAAAGTGGCATAGGAGTCCGGTTTTAGGCAATGACAACCATAATCAGTTTATTTGTTGGCCAGATTACCTGAAATCCATGCATAAAAGTGACATTCAAGCACACACACATGTACACCAACCCACACATTAATCAACACACCCAAGCTAATAACACTCCTGATTTCATACACTGAGCAAACACACAGAGCAAAAGAATTTAACACCTGAAGAATGTGATCATCACATCACCATATCATTATCATCATGCATAGTGTTTTACACACCTCATTAACACTTTCTTTCAACTGCCTGTAATCATAGGATGAAGGGAATTAAAAACTTATACAAACCTGTAGAGGTTATGAATTCTTTGAAGAAAGTCCTCCTTGGGGTACATATAAGCATTAAAATGTCCATTTTAAATCCTACGACAGTTGTAACTATATTTTTAATAAAATATTTACAAAACAAAAAACTCGTTTTGTCTTGTGAGACCACCCCTACAGGGCCCCACCGGACCAACACAGCCAAGAGCAGGTAACTCTTGCCGTCTACCTCGTACCTCACTTTTCATGCTGAACGTGTCAGACAGAATGAGGGGAGGCGGGTGGCCGTACCCCAAGGAGGACTTTCTTCAAAGAATTCATAACCTCTACAGGTTTGTATAATTCTTTTTCAGAAGAAGTCCTCCTTGGGGTACATATAAGCATATGACAGACTCCCAAAGATATTTGAGACGGAGTGGCATTCTGTCTGGCAACAACTAAACCCGTGGTGGAGTGAAATCTACAACCCGATCTGACGGAAATAGAAAATACCGAGCCACCTGACCGCTGATGTCAATCAGACGCGAGTGGAACTAGAGAGACCAAGCTTATATGTCAATTGGCTCAATATCAATGACATAAAACCCCGCCCCAACCATCACAATGGAAGGAATGTATGGGGACATGCCGAAACAACTCCCAACCCTAATATAGCCCCAGCCAGACAAGCGTGGCGAGAGGTATAAGGGTAGGGAAAGCGTAAAAAATTTAAACGCTACAAAGCCAATAACCCAGGAGTCGAGCTAATAAGTACTGCAAACTAATGCTCGAATGCACCCCTGTTTGGAAGAGGGCTTGCCGGGACCTCGATAAAACCCAGATAAATTATTAGCCTCGCTAAAAACTTTCTGAGGAAATCGAACGAGTACAAACGCCATGCATTGTACGAGTGAAAAACACCCCCACCAAACACTCTCGGCGTGAGGAGGGTAAGTGTAGGCCACCATCCCACAGAGCTGATTAACACAGACTCCCAAATACCGAAGGCTCGGGAAGAGGGATAACTGTAAGCGTACAAAATCCCCTGAATAGCGAAAAGCGTAGCCGAACATGTGTTGGCTCACCATTACACTAACCTGGACATGCGGCTCGAGAGGCATACCAAACAGTGCCCGTGGGGTTTCGTACCCAATTCGTCGCAAAGGCGGGTTAATAGCATATGACTGGTTAAAGCGTTCAACGGACCCCGCCCTCTTGAAGAGGACGTAAGGGGCGATATGTACACCCAAACCCGACCCAACCCGAAAGGATGGTAAGGCTAATCTGATGATGTAGTGATATGAGATATATCGACATTGAACACAGAACCGATACCAATGACCAGTTACTAACTTGGTCAGGGTGGCAGGGCACTCTCCACTGGAGAGAACCGAAAGACCGAACCGAGCACGCGATCCTTAGAATGCGTGTCAAGTTGGTAATGGCGAATGAAGGCGTTCTGCGGCTCCAAAGAGCGACAGAACTGATCTCTTCATTGAGCAGTGCCGCTGTGTATTGCCAACAAAGCGGCATCTGCCCTACCCAGTCTGCCTTCAACCCCTCGGGGGGAGGTAAACCTAAACATTGTAACCGAACAATTACGGAAACAAGCCAACGAGATAAAGTGCGCTTGCTAGCAGACTCCCCAGTCTTCCGCCACCAAACAGCAAACATGGGTACCCGTGCGGATCCCTTTTGTTCGTTCGTTAAGTGACAGTCACGGGTGAGCAATCGAAGGATTGGTCCCGGTCGCGAAGGCTGGGTAAGGGTGGAAGTGCGATATGAGCAGTCACGTGGAAAGCAATATCGCACTGAGAGTGGTAGGTATCCGGGAGGCGAATACGGACATGGTCAGTATAAAATACGGTCAGTGTCGGGTCAGTGGGAATTGCATGGATGTACCCGACCCTTCTACCAGAGTTCACCACAACAAGTAAAGTCGTCTTCCACGTCAACAAGTGAAGTGAGAGACGATATACTTGAAAAATTAGGGCCAGACAGCCAATTGTGAATAAGTGGCAATTTTAAGGTGGGCTGGGTCACCAACGAGGCGATCAAACCCTGTTCATGCCAGCTACGACACGATGTACGAGAGGATGCTGCCTAGGCAGAGCACCATCGAACGAGGTGTGAAAAGTTGAAATAGCCATGGAGTACCCGGCAATGGTGGAGGTCATAAGGCTCTCAACCAAAACGAGGTTATAGTAACTCCAATATCCGAACTAAATCCGCAGAATAGGGATTATGAAATCCCCCCTATCTGCACACCAGCGCCTTCCACCTATCAACACACCCGAACGGGTGCCGAATCCCAGCCAGAATTGTGTCTGCAACGGTTGCAGGAATTCGCGTGTGTTATACCCGACAGAGGCCAAGCCCCCAGTGAATCCGAGGATTCGGTGTGCTCCCGTTCAGAGTGAGAATGTCTGGCGAAGAGGTAATTCAATCCGGGCGCGGATCGATCGAACACCAACCTGACAGCTGTCAATTCCAGCACATTGATGTGCAGGTTGTAACTTCGTCTCAAGAGGCTGCAGGTCACCCAGAACATCGCCCCTAACCCGGTAGGGATGTATCTGGCTGGACTGAGAGCGACGGTGTCTCCAGGGGTGGGAACCCTCCGAGAGACGCCTGACGTCTGTCCATCTGACTGCGTGAGGTTGACAATTCCGCCCAGTTTCGTAAGAGTGACCAACACTGATCGTGAGGTCCCCAGACTCAACAGTTATTCCGAAACCACGATGAGCCAGTCGCCTAGGTACGGGTGACAACACCGGCACTGCGATCTGGCTATCTGAGCTGTAATAAACCTCAATTTGGTGAACACCCTTGGCACCCTAAGGAGAGCACACGAAACTGGTAGCACGTCCTGTCAAACAAGAAACCGAAGGTAAATCTTGAAATCAGGGTGCAATGAAACATGGAGGTATCGCCGAATTCGAGGAATTCGATTGACGGCGCCAATCCCCTGTCTCGCAGATGAGATCACCGAGCGGGTGTCTCCATCTTGAAGGACAGTACCTCTATGAACTTGTTCAGCTCTCAGATGAGAATGGGTCTGAACATTCCGTTCGTAATGGCAACAATGAAATAAATGGAGTCAAACCCCACATTTTCCTGACCATTGGAAACCACCACACTGGTTGCCTAGCCCAGCAGAGACTGGATCTCGCACGGAGTATTGTCGCCCGTCTCCGGAAGCCGACACTGGAGTGTGTCGCTCCGACCGGGTGTTTGCGGCAGAATATAGTAAACCCCAGCAGTCGGCAACTTAACGTTTGCCGATGCCTGGGCACCCTGAGGAATTAACGAGAAGCTCAACAGACTTCCGATTTCACGTCCCGGCGGTATAGGCCCATAACCGCCCTCATCATTTGGCTGGCACAGCTACAATGCAGTCCCTAGCCAGATGAGAGTTGACCCCGCCAGATGCCCCAGAGTCGCCGACGAAAAAATACCGCCGGCGCTCTCTCCCCTTTCCACCAGCTCCCTCAGCAGAGCTGAGAGATGCGCCGAGTGGAGCATACAGCGTTGAGCTGTGAAGGGGAAAGAACGGCAGACTTACGGGAGAGTGTGAGGCCTTGTCCCGGATGCCTTGCTGGAAGCAGGCTTCCCTCCAGGAGGCGAACTCCAACGGTTCGGGTATTCGACGTGGACAACACCTCAGGCAACACAGCCGCGATTCTATCTCGCACTTGCCTCAGGGACGAACGTACTCAGTGGTAAGTTCAAAGTAGCGAAATGAGCCGAAGCTCAAATCGACTTGTCCACTGTACGAGCCTGAACCCCGATTCCGAGGCACATGTGAGAAGCCTGACAATCAAGGTTTCACAAGCACTCAGACAGACCTCGGAGCGTTGAGGTGACCGTCACAGCCGGCACACTCGATGGCATCGTGGTCAAGATGTCGATAGACATCAGGCCGAGACCTGAACTACCGGAGCCGGGAATCTGCACCCTACCAGTGCCGAAGCCTGGGTCGGTGCTACCCACGGGGTTCAGAGAATCCGCAGAGCCGAAGCTCAGCTGTTCTAGACCGAACCCGATCCCCGGAGACATGTAGGAGTAGCCTGATAAATCAGGTTTCCCCAAGTACTTCCAAAAGCACTAAGCATATAGTCAAACATAGCCTATAAAGCTATATAAATACCCATACATACACATGTATGTATATACATACACATGTATGTGTATATATATACACAGATATATATATATATATATATATACACGTAAGTGCTCGGGTCGGCGGTTCGAGTTCGAACCCTGATCCCAAAACACATGGGAGTAGCCTGACAAAGCAGGGCTCCCCTGGTGTACACGGGTAGACCTCAGCGCGCCGAGGTGATCGGCAGCTCGTCACACTCAACGGCCTCTTGGCCAGGGCATCGATAGACATCAGGCCGAGACCTGAGCTAACAGCGCCGGGGATCTGCTCCGTACCGGGGCCGAAGCCCAGGTCGGTGCTAGTCCGATCTGCAGTCCCGAGACACAAGGGAGTAGCCTGGCAATGCAGGTTTCCCCTGGTGGACACGGGTAGACCTAGGAGCGCCAAGGTGATCGGCAGCTCAGTGGAACCCAGACCGGGGCGCCGAGATGGTTAACTTACCTTCGAGATCAACACTTTGCGAGCCAAGCTCCTGACGGAGCCCGGACATCACGCTATCAATCATCGACTTGACATTATGTTGAAGAATATGTTGCTGCAATAGTGAAGCAAATTGAGTCATATTTAAGTCAGCAACATTGTTTGCGGGGGAACGATAAAGGGATTTCCTTAGAAACCTTTTATCAAATATTATCCCCCGCCTGAAGCAGATTAGTGAAAAAACATAGAATCTGCGTGTCGGAAAGACAAAAAAACACAGCCTCGGCCTATGAGCCACGTTGTGTGTAAACGTATGAAATATGTATCATAATACAACATAATGTAACAGGAATATTACAAGACAAGACAAGATTTTTATTAGGTCAAAGACCAATACAATATATATATATATTGAATATTTGCCTGTGCACATGGCGATGTACGTATATAAAGAGAGCAATCACATTGTTATTATCATTATAGCCCAAGAGTGAGGATATGTATGGACGATTTACAAAAATTCAACTTTGTTTCTTTCATTTAAGATATGATGAATACACTTTGCAGCTTTCAGTACTTCAAAACTGTTTTCACCTTTTAACAATTTGATAAACTTAAACATACTCTATATTTTCCAATAAAGTATTACTTAAATGCTGCTTACGTTATTTCTCGATATTTTGGACAAATCAAGAGTAATGCGGTACTCATCTTCTATTTCGATTAGTACAAAAGGGACATAATCTATTGGCAAATGGGATTTTAGGCACACTCCATCTTCCTTTTTCAATCATAAGCATATGTGAACTAAGTCGGAAACGTGTAAACGCAATTCGGTACTTCCTAACATCAATATTAGTTAAATATTTCTCGATGCACAGAGTTTCCTTAATATGAAGATACAATCTAGTTTCACTTAAAGTTGATAATTGATGTTTCCACATTTGAGAATAAATGTCCTTAACCCTTTGTGTAAATATTGACGCAAGGGCGTTTATTATGAGCATCCTTGATCGTCGTGAGCGCCCTCGGCTAAACACCGGAGGCACACTTTATAACCATCCTGTGGTGGTAGTGTGCACGGCACAACACACAGGGCTTAAACTGCAACAAACATAACCACGCCAGTGTTACTACCAGGAACTGTGAAGCAGCAAACACATAAACACAAGTAATAGCAAGAATAACCCGCACGGGCGATATATAAATGCTACAAGCTACAGCCATTTAAATACTAAACATACAATGCAAAGCAGAAAAAAGGCTAGCCACCCCTGCGTGTACATACTAGTGATAGAGTAAAGGAACACTATCAAAATTACTCAACAACGACTTACCACAAATTCGCTGAAAAGAAAGAGAATTTAGGCAAGCCTACCATATAATATGCAAACATATTATATGAACTCCCTACTAAAAGCTACCAAGAACATATAGCAAGGAAACCACGATCGCGCGGTCCGCCATTTTGCCTGCCACATGGCTGGAAAATAGAGAACCCACAGCAAAGTTACAACAAAAGATGAATGAAAATATCAACATATGACGCCAATCTAACGCCCGCGCGTAGAGAAAGGAACCATACATACAGATTGAGATCTTATACACTCATCGTATCGGTAGGAGAGCAAACTCGAAACGAACACCACGGACGTCTATTCAACAGAACGACAGCATGAAAAGTGAGGTACGAGGTAGACGTCGAGAGTTACCTGCTCTTGGCTGTGTTGGTCCGGTGGGGCCCTGTAGGGGTGGTCTCACAAGACAAAACGAGTTTTTTGTTTTGTAAATATTTTATCAAAAATATAGTTACAACTGTCGTAGGATTTAAAATGGACATTTTAATGCTTATATGTACCCCAAGGAGGACTTCTTCTGAAAAAGAATTATTTAACTGAATCGACAACAAGCACTATTATATGATGGGTTCATTCTGAGATATGAACCTACCCAGATCACTACCGTTCTGTAGAGCAGCTGTCAGAACCCTTGAAAGACATTCTACATCGCCAAATCCCAAGTTGACCCCTTGACCTGCCAGCGGATGTAGACGATGGGCTGAATCACTACAACAATGATAAATGACCACTTTACATCTCCTTTCAGCATGCACCATGACCAAAACAATGATTAGTAATCATAATAATAATAATAAATAATAAGAAGTATAATGCGCTAATCTCCACGCAACAAAGCATGCTCAAAGCTCTAACACCCTGATTATTATTACCCCGGATAACCCAAGCTGCCTGTTAGGCTCTAGAAGGTTATAGTCACATGACTTTATCCAACCGGGTACCCATTTTCTGCTACATGTATCACATGTGCTTTGTTGTGGGGCAGGACGGAAGTTCTAGAATCTCTCAGGAGTCAAGCTGTCAAACACGGTCACCCATCCAAGGACTGTCCGAGCTCGCCGTTGCTTAACTTCAACTGATTCGTGACCTGTGCTCTATGCACAGGACCACACGCCACCACATGTCATGTCAAATGTCCATCCTGTACGCACCACTATTTCAAGTGATGTAAATATTTAAGTCTGTATGCACCATGTGAATCTTTGGAGTCAGCACATTCACTATAATGTAAGGACAATAATTTTTTTTATCTAAACTAAAGCTTGTAGTGTTGTCTTATGTTGCAACATGAGTGTGAGGCACTGAAGTTAGGTTTTTGTACAAGTTAACACTTATGGATAAAATGTGTGAGACTGCTGACTGAATTCATCCAATATCCCATCAGCGTTTGAAATTAACGTCAATCCTTAGGCGCTGCCTAAGACGCTGCCTGAAAACCACTCGGACCCAAGTCTTTATGGTCGACAGCTTTTTCATCCCCAATTACTAAGAGTATTATTTCCATATTAGGGCCTACACATTTTAATCAGTTCCCACAACTTTTTTTAGTTCTGGGTCCTTAGGGCCTGCAGCTTTTCAAGGTTAAGGGCAAACACTGAATTCAGGGCCAGTTCACCAAGCACATCCCTTCTGAGCCCAACTTAATGACAAATCACAAAAGATAGCACTTCAAGTAAAGCCCACAGATAGATTCTGTCCTTTCCACAAAGGTAAAGTTTAGTTTCCACAAGGAACTAAGGCATCAAATAGTTCTAGTGTATTTACAAAACAGAATGTCAATTCAGTACCCTGCATAATCCAAGATGATACACTCATGCTAGCTTACACTCCCAACAGATGACATATGTTCTCACCCAACAAGAGCGACTCTAGGTCGCACATATGCCGAGGAGTGTATCAGCTGCAGTGGGAAGGCGCCACGGCTCCCTGGCTCTATGTCCACTACAGTCGGTGGTAGCTGGCGGACTGTGTCTGGCCCTACACACAAAACGGAAGTTAGGATAAAAGACGGTGTAAACATTGCATACTATTTCATATTCAACACAGTATAAGAAAATCCTTTACCTGTCACATCTGAAACTACTGACAGACTGACTGACTGACTGAGTTTGGTTTTACGCCGCTTTTAGCAATATTTCAGCAACATCACGGCAGGGGGACACCAGAAATGTACCCATGTGGGGATTCAAACCCGGGTCTTCGCCGTGACGAGCCAACGCTTTAACCATTAGGCTACCAGACCGCCCCACTGAAACTACTGCAAGTTGAAAAAGGATACATGTTGTTTGATTAAACAAGAAAACATCTGCATTACATGCAAAAGCAGAATCCTCACCATCTGAGGTTCCCTTCCCTGAATTCACTCTGACTTTCCCAACAGAAAAAGAGGAACAGGAGCATCATTAACATACCTGGCAAGATGTTCCTAACGACAGAGCTGAAGACTTCAAGAGCCTTGTCCGCCAAAACGTTCTTCTCTCGATCATGCCACTGTAATGAGATGTAATGTTTCATTCATCTGATATCAGTATTTGCGCCATTTGCTATTCATATTAAACTGAAGAAAATCATGTCTTGGAGGACTTCAAAACCCTGATTTAGTTTCTTCGGCTTTGTACTAACAAGCAGATGTTCACCAATGATTTTGGAATTATAGCAGAAACTATGGCATGAAATACAAATTTACTTTGTGCCAAATCAGGCATGAATTCTCCCATGTCCATTTCTAAAGTGACTGTCCACATGATAAACATTTGGTGTGTATAGCTATCCACGGCTGAATTAAACTATGAGAAGCCTGTTGAAGGATGGGGACCCCACTGAGAGAAAGCCTGTCAGATATCTTGCTTGTTGTTTAACAATGTACTGCAATATAACAGTGATCTGTAAATAATCACGTCTGGACCAGACAATTCAGCAATTAACATCATGAGCATAATCTAGGCAATTGGGATATCATGACATGCAATCATCCATGTTACCAAGGCTGACCACCCAATCAATTTAGTAGCTTCATATGACAAGCATCAGTTTGCTGGGGACCTAGAATCCTAGCTCTAATCCATGCTGATGCCTATTAGTGAGTGAGTGAGTTTAGTTTTACGCCACACTCAGCAATATTCCAGCTATATGGCAGCAGTCTGTAAATAATCGAGTCTGGACCAGACAATCCAGTGATCAACAGCATGAGCATCGATCTGTGCAATTGGGAACTGATGACATGTGTCAACCAAGTCAGCAAGCCTGACCACCCGATCCCGTTAGTCACCTCTTAAGACAAGCTTAGTCGCCTTTTGTGGCAAGCATGGGTTGCTGAAGACCTATTCTACCCCGGATCTTCACGGGTCGCTGATGCCTATTAAGAGACAGAGAACTTGGAGAGAGAGAGATATACAGTTGCAGTAATGTAACGGATATTTATGGTTGGGCAATAATTTAATTGGATCACTTCCCTCCCAAGAGCCTTTAAATCCATGGCTCCATTCCATTAAACTGCTGTAACACCAAGTCTCGTAATTCATGTACCTGTGGAGATCCGGGTTAGAATTGATCTTCAGTAACCCATGCTTGTCGTAAGAGGTGACTAACAGGATCGATGGTCAGGCTTGCTGACTTGGTTGACACATGTCATCGTATTCCAATTGCGTAGATCGATGCTCATGCTGTTGATCACTGGATTATCTGGTCCAGATTTGATCATTTACAGACTGCTGCCATATACATGTAGTTGGAAGATTGCTGAGTATGGCGTAAAGCTAAACTCACTCAATTGTAATTCATGCAAGCAGATTTCATGTCTTATGAGGTTACTGAGGATAGGCTGTTTAAAGGAAATGAACTCACAAAAGCATCGTTCACAGCATCAACAAAGCTGTCCTCCGGTATGCTCAGTAGATGCTTGGCTGCCTCATGTGTTGTGGACCACACCAGGGAACTAAGGTTCTCGGTCAGCTGTATGGACATCCCATGTCAGTAGGAAGTTACTTTTGCACATTGCTTACTTTGTTGATAACAGTTAATACTAACACTTTATTGTCAAAAGATACATCTGATACAGTTTGATTTACTCTTTAGTCTATATATAGTACAAACATTTTGAAACAACAACAATCCGCCTTGAGTTGGCAATACAGGTCTGTGTACAGAATTAAGCACAAAATTATATATATCTCAATAAAATATTTTGAGAAACTCATTAATTTTGTTTCCAATCCAACAAATTATGGAACATAAATGAATTTGATTTTAAATATTCAAATTGAACACTTTATTTTAGAAATGAAGTATGACAAATACTGAAAAACACAAAATCATTCATGGCCTTTTGTCATTTTCATGTAATGAAAGCAATAAATATGTTGCTATGTATCTTTATGACTTAATTCAAAGGTAAACACTGCTATCACATAAGTACTTACTGGGAGCATAGCTATTGGACCAGTTGAAAGGAACCGTTGCCATGCAACACAGTTATCAGGAGCCTGTAACAGTCATTTCAGAATTTAACAATTGGCTGTTGCCTTAAATATTAACTACCATTCTTAAAGCTTATACTGTTGATCTTACAAGAACAAATTACAAATCTTCCTTACAAAACAGATGGAAACTGTTGGATCAAGATTATGAGGAGCACTTAAGAGACCTCAGCTAGTTTGAGAGTAGCCACGACAGCCTTCTGTTTGTAGTCCCACCTGACTGTGTGAAAGTCGGCTGCTTGACGCACTGCGGACTGGTTCCCATCAGCTCCAATCTGGGAAAAGAACATGCAGTATAGTCTCCCTTCCATTTAATCATTCAACTGACCATAAAAATCTCCACAGGACAGAAAACACATGACATCACTCTAAGGAGATTCATATTCAAATTCAAATGCATCCAAAATATTTTCAGACCAGGCCAATCACAATCCAAGAAGCAACAGGTACAAAATATAACAGTGAGAGTGATTTGTAACAATCTCGTCCTTCAGTCTTGCTAAAACAGTTCTCAAACTTGTCAACATTACAAGAATAACAACAAAAGCATTTTTATCAAGTAAATATTGTATATTAAGACTCCAACTTACAAGCAATCTTGTTCGTATGACATCTCCACTTTCCAGCTCAACGCCTACCAGTGGATGTTGCTTGGAAGAGAAATCTTTCACCCCAGGCAGCTCATATGCCTTTGGTTTAGTTCTATACCGGATCTCTACGCGATTATCAACCTCAGACAATCTCTGCATTAGTGCTGCCAGAATAACATCGTTCTCAACGATGTAAGCCAGTGGTTCAGCCATTTCATCATTGTTGAAAGTTATCATAGATTCAGAGCAGGACTCCCAAACCTAGGAAGAGAGTATAAACTGGGTTGTATTTTGCATCCAACCATCACAATTTTATTGTAATTAAATAGTTCACCTGATAAATACAGTGTAAGGACGCCATGGAAGAAATTCTAACACTGGTCATTTGCAATGTTTGTTTACTTTTTGGACCATGTCAAACTTAAAAGAAAGTCCTGTTAAAAATATATGATAAACTATATATATGTCGACCTTATATATGCATGTGCACAAATAGACGAGGGTAATTTTTTATTTTATTTACAAGTCAAGAAGGGTCATGAGAACTTGTTTCGATGTGATCATTTGCATTCAAAATTACATCCTGAAATAATCATAGATTCTTTTGTTTGAAAAGATTCTTTTCTGCTCACAGCTACTAATGATCATAATCCATTATGACATAAAGATGACCAATTGTGGCAGGACAATCAACTTACTGGAGTGTGAACTTTAAAGTAAGGCCATAAATGCTTGGAAAATGCTTTTAGACTTCAATATCAGTATGATGAATTTGACACAAGATAAAAGCACATATATGATACATGTAACACTCTACCTAGTTGGAAATTAAAGCTCAGATGAAAAAATGCACTTGAGGGGTGACTGCACAGGAGGAAATTTTGATGTTTTAACAACATTCGTAAATATTCTAAGTACAAATTGTAGTTTTGAAATACGGACTATAATTATTCATATAGCCTCAACGAATTAAATTACATAAATGATTGTAAAATGTTTGGGTTTTTTTAACATCTATATGTGAAAAAGATGGAACTGTTGTAGTAGTTAAATTCAAAATAATTACGTAAAAAAGTCTTAATTCAAATCGCATACGGTAGATAATCTTGTTCACCCATAGACGTTTCACTTCGTGTATGAGCATTGAACTGGCAACATGAGACTTGATATCTCTGCAGAACAATTAATTTCAAATTTATACCAGTATTTCATACTGGAGAAACAAAGGGGGGGAACCTCTCGTCAGCTATGACAGGGTTTACTATAGAATGTGTAAAGCCCTTAATTTGACATATAGTCAGATTTACAAAGTTGTAAACAAATCAGTTACCTCAGGGGTCGTATCAAAATCAAAACCAGGTAGGAAACAGAAACTGGATAGCTTTGATAAGGGTGTCATACGCCGTGCAGTTTATAAACTGTATGAACACAAAATACTACCGACGTGTGCTAAAATGAGATAAAAAATACAATAAATGTCCTGGCGTAATTCCGTTTTGAATCTGAAATATCAACCACTGTCAAAGAATTGCCAAAAAAACATTTTCCAAGCATTTCTGGCCTTACTTTAGTTCAACTATATGAGGGCTTCTGTTCAATATTCAGACTATTGAACACTTTCATTATGAACAAATGCGACTAATCTTTAACTACAATTACTTTGACCATGTTGACTTTGTTGTTATGTAATATATGAATTGATTCAGATTTGAGTCAAGCTTCGCTTACAACAACCCAACAGAGTCAAATTGCAACATTCAACAACAGAAATTATCTGCACATTGTCATGGCTGGGTCCATCAATAAATATCATTCACATCATCAGGACAAATCTGTCCTTCATTTTAACTTCCATGAGTCAATACAGTACTACTGTATACAGAGCATGTCTGTCAGGTACATATGTGGGTATGGATGGAGTGTTTAACATGATTCATGTTAAGCCGCAACAAACCTGCATCCTCCTGACTGGTTGACATCTCATCTGAAGAACTTCATCCCAGCCACCAAAACCTAGAGCAAATACCAGTTCTCAAAGATATTCATACCTATAAATCTTAGCAAAACTTGAAAATTAATATCTGTAACATGCTGACTGCACAATTAGCTCATTAGAGAGAGTACCGTTTCACTTAAACTTATAATATATTGATAGGATTATTTGATGTACATGTCTATATATTTATCAAGTGGTGGATAACTACTGGCGAACAAGGATAAGTTGGACCAGCGCAGAGAAAGGCTTTACGAGAAGTAGGCCGTGCATGGCAATGAGCAAACCCATTTGGTTTGTGAAAGGTAGAGCAGATGTAAGCTAGTGCATGTGCAGTGCATGACGATGACATTGATTCCGCACGTAGCTGCACACGCCTTGCTCATAAGACTCTCACGTCGGTGTAGCAAGTCGCACTACACTTGATCGCAGACAACATGGGGCCCCTTCACTAACAATGGAAAGCACCAGTAGGCGGCACTCATACATGCTAATACGGGTCAATTGTCAGATCGGTGCTCAACATATCCTTGTTTGCCAGTACCTGCAAAGTAAGGTCTGTTTGTGCTAAGAGTTTGCAAACACTGCAGCTAAAGAAACATGGTCTATCTTGAAACATAGCATTAGATAACCGAATTTCCAGTTGAATAAACAAACACGGCACTGACAATCTTTTCGTAGAAAATCAATGGAAACAATCTATCTGGGTATACTTTTCCTCTAAATGTACTTGCTGTTACATAAACCTGTTAACTTAAACTTGCCATCCTTTTTAGACTTACTGTTAAAGAAATTTACTGTTGCTGGACTTAAAGCACATGTTCTGTTGCTGTATTTTTCTTGCAGAATAAACTTTCCCTTGTCTGGCGCTGCTTCCAGAAGGATTATTTTCTTGTCAGAAAACAAAGGGTTGGTGGCTAGAACAACCAAAAAAGAATTCAACATTTAATGGCAAACCACTCTCAAAGCATGATACTCACAAATGTGTTTTTCAGTGGTCAATGACATATGATACATTCTAAATATGTCCATATCTGAATAATAATAATAATAATAATTAGTCCACTTGTATTGCTCTAAATCCACACCTACATCATGCTCATAGCACAGACAAGATAGAATTTAGGAGTCACTTGTAAAACATAGAGAAAAGGTATGTCTTTAGGTTTGCTTTGAAACATGCGGACTGTTTGGCTTGTTCTAAGGTGAGCTGGTAACTCATTCCAGTTCATCACGGCCGCCACTTGAAATGAGCCAAAACCATAAGATTTCAACTTCCATTTTTGAATGTGAAGTAAGTTCTTGTCACTGGAGCAAAGCTGTCTGCATGGAAGATATGGTTTGAACAGTTCTTTGAGATAGGCCGGAGCAGTGCCTAGTATGCACTGGCTGACAAGGGTTAAAACTTAGCTAAACCTGTAGAGGGTTCCAATTCTTTGAAGAGAATCGTCCTTGGGGTACATATATGCATTTTCTGCGGCTGAAAATGTCATGTGACAGTTGTATCAATGTTTTAATAAAAATATTGTACAATAAATAAAAATCTTTTTAGCTATTATATGGCCCCCACCACATGGAGTGACCTCCCTGCTACGCATGCGCAGCCAACCAGGTAAGCACCTAGGCCCGTATCATCATTCCTTCTGCTGAATAGATCAGTGAAAAGAATTGCGGGGAGGTGGACGGTTGACGGCCCTACCCCAAGGACGACTCTCTTCAAAGAATTGGAAACCTCTACAGGTTTAGCTAATTCCTTTTTCATAGAGATCGTCCTTGGGGTACATATATGCATTAACTCAGCTCAGACTCCCAAAGACCGGAGGCCAGGGAGGAGGGAATTCTGTCAAAGTATTCATAAATAGCGATCATTAGGAAGAATGTAACAGATGCCACAACACTCACCTGTCTACGTGTCCCGAAGCTTCCGCGAAAGGCATGATGGGAGGGTAACCGACAGGGAGGATTAGATTAGTACTTAGATCCGACCTCATAGGTTAAGCACAGCAATTCGCACATAGTGCAAAAGTAAAAACCCCTCCCACATCATGATCTATTAGAGAGCACCGTAAGGTGGAAAAAACAACTCACAACCGACCATAATCTCATGAGAGAATCGAAAGGAGTTAGAGAAAACAACAGCAGATATATCAATAATACACAATTGAAAGCAGCGTCAACTGTCCAGATAACCAAGACTCACTCAGTCAGGGTGGCAGGACACTGTCCACTGGAGAGAACAGAACGGCAAAACGCGCACGATCACGTAAATGTGTATCGAGCTCATAGTGCCTGATAAAAGTGCTAGGGCTGCTCCCAATAGCGGCAGAGCATATCTCTTCAATGGGCAGTGCCGATGCAAAAGCCTTTGATGTGGCCACTGCCCTGATCGAGTGAGCCTTCAACCCCTCAGGGGGAGGCTTGCCCTTAGCCTGATAAGCAGCACAAATGACAGATACAAGCCAGCATGATAGGGTCTGTTTGCTCGCCGGCATCCCAGCCTTCCCCCCACCGTAACAGCAGAACAGATGGGTACCCGTACGGATCCCTTGTGTTCGTTTGATATAGACCTTGAGAGTCTTTCAGAGATCCAACGGGTGAGTGCTCGTTGCAGAGGTCCCCGATGTGGAAGGCTGGGTAAGAGTAGGAAGTTCGATAGCAGCTGTCACGTGGAAAGCATGATCGATCTTCGGACGGTAAGTATCCGGGAGGCGAATACTGACACGATCACAGTCAGCGCCGGGTCTGCCGACATAGCATGTAGGTCGCCGACCCTACGCCCAGTTGTTACCGCCACCAGAAATACGGCCTTCCATGTTAACAACTGAATGGAAATAGCCGATAGACGTGAGAACGTAGGACCGGACAGCCAATATAGCATGATTGACAAATCCCAAGGTGGGCTGGTTCGCCTGACAGCAGGTTGAACCCGATCCACGCCAGCTAAAAAGCGCTGTAGAAGATGGAGCACCATCGACAGGGGTGTGGAAAGTGGAAATAGCGGTGAAGTAGCCACGCATGGTTGAAGCCGCCAAGCCTTCTTCCAAACGAGCTTGCAGAAACTCCAATACTCAGACTAAATCCACAGAAAAGGGATCTGCAATCCCCCTATCTGAACACCAGCACGCATAGCGGGACCACCTATCCTCATATTGAATGTTTGTCGAATCCCGCCTCGAAGCCAGAATTGTGTCTGCAACTGCTGAAAGAATTTCGCGTGCTTCGAGGCTAGACCTGACAGAGGCCAAGCCACCCACTGAATCCTTGGATTGGGGTATGGCGCGCCGTTCTGAGTGAGAATGTCCGGTCGCAAAGGTAATAGAACATCGGCTGAGCCAGAAACCTGAGAATAAACGGAAACCAGCTCTGTGACAGCCATATTGGTGCCAGTAGCACAAGTAGCTGAGCTGGCTGGGTGGACAGCTGGGAGAGGAACCGAGGAATGAGTGGTAGCAGCGGGAACGCCCAGAGCTTTTTGCCTGTCCAATCCAGCAGGAAGGCGTCGGAAGCCAACGCCCTCTGGTCCGGTATTGGAGAGCAGAACACGGGCATCTGATTCGTCCCGCCGGACGCAAACAGATCCACCTGGAACGATCCGTACAACTGGGAGATAACTCCGAATATCTGCCGGTCGAGCATCCACTCGAAAAGGGGCTAGGATGTACGTCATGGCCGTACGGTTGTCCAACTGAAGACGAACCATCTGGCCCTGAACATGCTCCCGGAAGCGCTCGAAAACCAACCGCACAGCTCTCAGTTCTAAGACATTGATGTGAAGGCGGACCTCGGCTTCGGACCCAAGTCCAGACACAGATAGACTGCCCAGAACACCCCCAAGCCCGTGAGGGACGCATCGGTTTGAACTGTAAGAGCTGGTGTCGGGATTTCCAAAGGGACCCCAGACATTGGTCCACCACTGAAGGTGAGGAGACAACCACCCGGGGACTGAGAGACACTTCTCCAGATCATCCGAGTGAGCCCACAGACTCGCCAAAGCTTGCTGTATAGGGTGCATCCTCAACCGCGCCCGCCACACGACAGAGATAGTTGCCGCCATATGACCCAGTAGACGGAGCTAAGTCCGCGCTGGTGCATGGGGCTGGGAGAGTTACGAAGACACCATCTCCCGTACTCTAGTGACCCGGTTGGGCGACAAAGAGACAAGACCCCCGAGAAAAACCAGGTCAGATTTCTTGAGGTTTATGATCCACCCCAGTCGAACTAGAATGTCTATCACTGTGTGGGTAGAATCTAGGCTAGCTGGCTGAGTTAGAGCGCTGAGCAGCCAGTCGTCTAGGTAAGGGTAACAACGCCTTCCTTGCGACCTTGCGAGGGTAGCCGCACTAACATTAGCTTGGTGAAAGCCCTGGGGGCAGTGGATATGCCGAAGGGGAGCACCGTGAATTGGTAACACATCCCGTCGTAAGAGAACGATGGATGGATGAATTGGCACATGTAGATACACATCCTTTAGGTCGATCGATGTAAGCCAATCGCCAGGCTGAACAGAGGAGATCACCGAGCGAAGTGTCTCCATCTTGAAGGGTGGAACCTCTGACATCCGATTCAACCGCTTGCGGTTGAGAATGGGACAGAACCCGCCGTCCTTCTTCGGAACGAGGAAGTACGTGGAATAAAACCCCGCCTGTTCCTCGCCTGGTGGTATGCGCTCTATTGCGGACTTGTCCAGCAAAGGCTGAACTTCGTCTCGCAGTATTCCCGCCTTGACCGGACATGACGGCACCGGAGTGCATCTTATGCCGGTGAACTTTGGCGGGCCTCGCTTCCACAGTGGTAGATGGCCGACACTGACGATGGATAGCACCCAAGTGTTGCTGGTAGCCTTCTACCACTCCGGTAGGAATAGAGAGAGCGGCCCACCACTGGGACGTGTGGTAAGAGTGCGTGAGTTGTCCCCTGCAGATGAACTGGTTGGGACGGACCCACGGCGATAGCCTGCAGGTTTAACGGGAGGTCGGGGCAGACCCCCCTCGACCGCGAAAAGGCTGTTGGGAGCCAAACGAAGAGGCCTGCTTCTTGCCCTTACCTTTGGCGAGACGGCTCCTCCTCCTACTGCTACCCAGCGGCCGAAGCCAGCCGGCAGACTCGGGCATAGGCTGCACCCCGGAGGAAGAACCTGCTACGGGAGCGAGAAGCCCGCAGTTGCTCAAACAAGGCCTTATAGTCCTTGAAGGAGGTAGCTGCTGCAGCAGCCTCCCGAATGACCTGCTGTCGCTCCCAGCCGAAACGGAAGGGCCAGCAAGGTCTGCTGTGTCGCTGCCGAGTAACACCGTAGACGCGGCAGACCGTAAAGAGTCTCGCGTCAGGTGGGCCTGTACTTTGGATAGTTGGCGGAGCAGAACAACATTTGGGCAAACGACACCAGTGCTCCCTTCCGCCTCCAGAGCCGACCTTTGTATTGAGGAAAGGTACGCCTCATGGACCACGACCCGCACCTGCTGCATGGCATTCCGGTAGACTTGCTCGTAAGTACGGTATGCTTGCTGCTTGCTGCACCTGAGGAAGCCGAGTCTCCCCCAAAGGCGAACGAAGTGAACACGCACTCGTCAACCACCGGCACAAAGAACAGAGAATCATTACCCAGCTGATATCTCTTAACAAGTTCGGGTAGATCGAACCGGAGTCGAGGTCCAACCAGGAGGGGATCCATCATGTCCTGTACCAGGGAAGGCAAGATACGGAGCTGTGTCTGAGGGGGTTGCCTAGGGGCAAACCCTCACCCGGCAGGCGGACTCAGTCGAGTCCGAGCGACATGTCGGCACCGCGGCTTGAGGAATATACTCGGCAATACGTTGCCTAACCTCCCGGAGAGCCGACGGAAAACGGAAAGTACCCTCCATCTCCTCGACCTCCATAGATGTGGCATCCGAGCCCGAGTCAGAATTCGGATCTCCACGTG